GCGCCGCCGCCGCTCCGCGCCGCCCGCCGCAAGCCGCTGCCCGAGGTGAGTGAGGGGCGAGCATCGCCCGGGAGCTGCGGGCCGGGCAGGGGAGTTCGGAGAGCGCGGAGGAGCCCGGGGCGGGCCGGGCGGGCGCGGGGACCCCCGTGTCCCCCGGCTCGGGGAAACTCCGGCTCTCGCGGTTTCGCTCCGAAGCCGAGTGCGGCGGCCGCGGGCATCCCGCCCCGCTGCGGGTCCCCTTCCCCAGGCAGGGGCTCTCCCCTCTCCTCTCCCGGGCTGACCCGATCCTCGCCCCCTCCGCAGGGCAGGGCCGTGGGCCAGAGGACCCCGCTGTGGCTGCGGGCCCGCTTTCAGGCGCTGCTCTTCGCCCTGGGCTGCCGGATCCAGCGGCACTGCGGGAAGGTGCTCTTCGTGGGGCTGCTGGTGTTCGGGGCGCTGGCCGTGGGACTACGGGTGGCCTCCATCGAGACCGACATCGAGCACCTCTGGGTGGAAGGTAAGCGCGGCCCTGCGGGCTCGGCCGCCCGTGGGAGCGGCCCCGGTCCCGCTCCCGGCCGCGGCTTTGTCCCCCACGCGCGGCGCGGAGTGCGGGGCCGGCCGGGAGGCAGGTGACAGCGCGGGGCGGGACGAGGAAGAGGAGGATGCCGCCGCCGGGCGTCCCGTCACCGGGGCCGCGGAGGACGGGCCGTGGGTGCTCACGAGCCGGGTCCCGTCTGCGCGGCCGCTCGGGCTGCGCCGTGCGCGGGTGCTGGGTTGAAGAGGGACCCCCACGCGTGTCCCGACGGGGGTCCCCGCGCGAAGGTGCTGACACGTGCGACGGGGATGGAGCTGGACACCCCCTTCTTGGTGGGAAGAACCCCCCGGCACGGCCGCAGCCCCGCACCGGGGCCGAGCCGGAGCCGCCAGTCCCGGCCCGGGACCCCGGCCCGGGGGGAACGGGAGCGCGGGCAGGGTCAGGCGGGAGCAAATCCCCGTTTCCGAGTGGAAGCGGCTGATCCCCCTCCTTTGTTATTAATAACTCCAGCGTGGATTTTCTCTCCCTGATCCCTGCAGCCCTGCTTCACGGGTCTGGGATTTGCTTTTCCTGCGCCTCCCTTCGCCTTTGGGGGGCCCCCGGGGGGGCAGCACCCCGAATCGCAGCCCGGTCCGTGCCGCCGGGCGCGGCGGGAGGATCCCCGGGCGGGGGTCCCCGCGGGGTGCTGTGCAGGGGCAGATGTTGCTCAGCGGAGGGGTGTCAGCCATCTTTGTGCGGGAGCGCTGCCTCCTCCCCCACGCCCCGCTCCCTGTGTGGTCCTCAGCTACTCTTGGATTTGGTTCAACAATAGAAGCAACTTTGCTCTCCCACCCCCTTTTTTTTTTTTTTTTTTTTTTTTTTTTTTTTTTTTTTTTTTTTTTTTTTTTTTAATTAAAAAAAAGAGCTCTGCGCTCCCTGGCTGCTTGCACACAGATGCACGCACGGACCCCTGCCCAGGAATGCCCGGCTCTCCCACCTGCTCCCCACTCCCCAGGGATGTTTGTCCCCCCTCCCCAGCTCTCGTCTCCATCACCCCCTTCCACTGCAACACGTAGCAGAGAAATCCAGTGATACCTCCCGGTCCAGCCAGCGCCTGAGCTGTGGCTGCTGAAGGAGGGACGTGCTCCCTCCGTGGTTCCCTCACTCTGGGTCGTGGCTCCGGCTCCATTGAATTTTTATTGTGCTTTTGGGGTAGCAAGGAGTCAGCGTTTTGTAGAACTGTGGCCAGGAAAGCGGCTGTGGTTGTTCCTGTTAAGGGGAATGGGACTTGCGGCACATCAGGGTGGAGAGCGGGATGGGGAAGGGGCCAAGCCTGGGGACGGCTGGAAGCGCCCAGAAACCCGGCTTTTCCTGTGCCCCGCTGTGCTTCCCTGCTCGCACGGGCACAGCCAGCAGCAACTGCGGCTGCTCTTGGGGGATTTCCCCCACACTGCGGTCTGGCTGTAATGTGGGTGCCGGGGGCCTCTCTCAGGAACCTTCTCTTTCTCATGGCTTCTCATCTTCTTCAGTGTCAGGAGTTGGATTTAATTATTTTTTTTTTTACTCCGTGGTGAAACACCGCTGACGTGGGGCATCCTGCCCCTTCCTGAGCAATGGGGACACCGGGTCTGCGCTCAGCCCCCGCTCTGGGTCTGTGCTGCCTGCCTGAGGACGATGTGCAAGGTCAAAGGTGCTACTCAGAGCCCCCCTTGTTCTTCCTGGGAGGGCTCTTCCCCCGAGAGTGTGCTCTTGGGGCAGACCCCTCCTTGCCTCGCTCCTGGGTGGCAGAGCCCCAGCGTCCTCAGGCGTTGGCACAACCTGCGACCACCAGTGGCGATGTGTCTGAGATGGCTTCGGTCCCATGGGGTGGCATGAGGGGGTCAGGATGTGGAAGGAAGGCTTGTGGTGACACTTTCAGTCTCGTGTGTCAGCTGTGGGGCTGCCTCCCTTCCCCATAACCATCTGTAGGTGCCTGCCTCACCGCCAGCCTCAGCTTCTGCATTTTCTGGCAAGATCAAAGCATCCCCCACATATGGCCAGCCCTGATCACTGCACCCCATCCTGCTGGTGTGGGATGGGCATTATCGGGGACAGGAGGGCCTGGGATGCCCCTGGAGAGTGGAACACAATTGCCCAGACTCTGTGGTTGCATCCAGAGCACTTGAAGCTGCTTTGGGATTTTTCTCAGCCGCTACTTTCTCACGTTCCCACGTGTGTGGCAGGGTTGGAGTGTGTGTCCTCTGCAGAGAGCCTGGTACCAGTGTGGCAGGCTGAAGCAGCGCAGTTCTTGCTCCTTGGCTGGCAAAGCTGGTATCCCATCAGCTTCGTCGCAAGTGTTTGGGATCCCCAGGGTGCTGGGCACCGGAGCTCCTGCCTCCTCTGGGTCTGTGAGATGTTTGTGGGACTGTGGTTCGTCCCAGCCCTGGGGCAGTGCTGTAGGGTGTCTGAGGGCAGGGTGTGTGTGCAGAGAATCCCCGGCCCATCATACTAGCCCAGTGGGTCCCAGCTCAGGGGCAGGGTGGTTTAAGGTTCCAGGAAGCCTCTGGTGACTGCACCCGACCCCCTGCCTCTGCCTAGCCAGGCTGAGGGATGCGGGTGGTGATGCTCCAACCCGCAAACCACCCCGCCCAGGTGAGGTCCCAGCACTGCAGGAGCAGAGTGTGACCCTGTGCCAGGCAGTCCCCACTGCAGGCTGAGCTCAGCTCTCTGGGAGCTGGGATCCCGCTGAGCAGGGGAGGGAAGGGAGCTGCTTCCCATGGGAGCATGATGCTGCTGTGCCATCCCCCTCCTCCCCAAACAGGAGAATAGGGTGGGCAGCCCTGCTTTGGCCCCATGACTGGGGTCAGCACTCGGGCCATGCTGATGGTATGTCCTCCTGAGCCTCGGTTGTGATCCTGGTCGCTAGTGGGAAAACAGAGGGTCCCCTGTCCCAATTCTGGGAATGCCCTTAGACCAGGGGGCTGGCTGAGGGGTTCTTGTGGTGTTCTGGGGTTATGCCTGACCTGTATCCCTGTTTGGGAGATGGAGGGAGGCTGTGTCACCCCATAAATTGGACTCCACTGTGGAAATGTTCAATTAGGCTCCTCCGAAGCAATTAGCCACTCGGAGGCTTTGCAATCCCGGCTAGCGGCGAGTGTTGAGTTACCTCTGGACACCTGGCAGCTGTTCCTGGCTCTCCCAGGGCGTCTTTAGGGCCAAGGGGCCGGGGAGGCGAGCTCTGGGCAGGCAGAGCCCTGGGTGGTGAATGGGTCTGCCTGATTTATAGCGCCGAGGGCTGGTTCAAAGGAAGGCCGGGTTAATTCCTAACCGGAACAGCCAAGCGCCCCGCACAGCCGTCGCCCTCTCAAAGAGCTGCTGAGTCTCCCTGGAGAAGACCCTGTCCCTTTTCTGGAGGGGTCATGGACAGCCCGAATATGCTGGTGGGATGAAATAGGACGCATCTTATGGGGGTGAGGGGAATTTGCTCTCTTGTTCTCATCTTGGGGCACAAAGCTGAGACACCCCCAACCCTCTTGGCAGTGGCTTCTGTCCTTCCTTGACCTCTGCAGCAGTTCTTGGCACAGGGCATCAGTTCCTGTGCACCCAGGACAGGGCTGGGATGCAGCCTGGAGCTCCCCCCGCGGCAGGCCAGGACAGAGAGGAGATGCAGGCTGACTCTGTTTGCAGAAAGAGGGGCACAGGGGATGGGAAGACCCCGACAGGAAGCCAAGGACGGGGTTGAACGCCCTCAGCACTGTCTGTGTGGCCTCTCCTCCCAGCCCCTGTCCCCACTGTGCTGGGTGGGTCCCGTGGAGGGGTGTGGGGCAGCAGCAGTGGGGGTGAGAGGGATGCCACAGCCGTTCCTGGGTGGGCACACAGAGAGGTGGGTGGTCTCGTTGCTGGCTGGGTGGGTTTGTGGGGTAGGATGTTTGTGCAGGGGCTGAGGAAGGAGCGGGTGAATCTGGGGGGCTGTATGTGGCTGGAGCTGACGGGCTGGGGGGCTCTGATGGCAGTTTGTCCCCGTGTCTGGGGCAACAAGATGCCTGCTGGGACCTGGCCAGAGCCAGCTTCACTCCTGTGGGGTGGCTCCTGGGCTGCCATGTCCCTGCTCTGTCACCAGATGGGTGTCCTGGGGAGGAGGGTCCCCATTTCTCTTGGGGTGTGGTGACAGAGGTGTTGCTCTCCAGGAAGGCAAGGGACAGCCCAGGGTGCCTGGGGACTGTCTTGCCTGGCCTGGTGGGATTTTCCCTTCAGCACCCTGCTGTCCTCTCTGTTTGCAGGGTCTGGGTATCTGTGGGGACACTGTGCTCCCATCCCCGGGGGCTTGGGGAGTGAGGAGCAGCTGGGGTGTTGCTGCCATGAAGTGCTGAGCTCCCTGTTATCCCAAAAACTTGCCTGCCGGGCTCTCCCCTCTGACTCTGAAAGAACCTTTCTTCTCGAGAAGGGAGGGGGGGGAAGGAGGCTCACCCAGCAGCCCCCCACCCGCCAGAAGATGGGGTCCAGGCAGTTCACCTTTATTTATTTATCTTTGGGAGGTGAGCGCAAAACCTCTTGCTCTTCCTTTTCCCTTCCTTGACAGCTTGGTCAGCTTTTTTGGGCTGGAAAATTTTGCTAATTAACCCAGAGAGACTGGAAGACTTTACAGATGGCTGTGGCTTATCTGCCCCTATCCATTTTGCTTTCCTTTTCAACTTATATATTTTTCTATTTCCTAGAAAGTATTTTTTTTTCTTTTATATATATATGTTTTTTTAACTTGGACATATCTACGGACTTAGGGAACGGGCTCTTTTTTTGTGTGTTTTAAATGTTATTTGGCGGCTGGGAGGGGGCAGCGCCAGGGCCCAAGAAGAGGGTTTTATTATCTGCCTCTCCCTCGGGCCTGGAAAAGTGGTCTGAGTTCAAAAAATTCATTTCTTGCCTGAATGAAGCCAGCAATGTGGAAAAATTTCACCATTCAGAGGGGGATGAATGTATGTTTCAACCACACATTAAGTGACATTAGCAAGCAGTGGAGTGCCTAATGTGGCCATTTTTCACAGCAGCCAACAGAGGGGGTGATTAGCATAATTAGTACAGGCAGCCCTATACATATGGAAATGGCAAATGCCTAAATGCCAACACCAGTGGAAATTTATGTCAATGCTGACAGGAGTCTTAGCGGTGAATAGTTCCCAACTGAATCCCCTCCCCCCCCCCCCCTTTTTTTTTTCCCCCCTCTCTTTTTCGGGGGTCGCGCTGTCCCCTCGGCGCTGGCCGGGGCGGTGCGAGCTCCCGGCTGCCCCCCTCCCTGTGCTGGGAACCGCCGCCCCCCGATTTGGGGTAATAAAGACATTAATTTAGCTTTGCCGTTAAACAAAAGAGTTCGGCCGGGGCCGGCGGCTGGGGAGCTGGCCCCAAACGGGCCCTTTCAGCCCCTCCGCCGCTGGCTTTTTGAAGGCATCCCCGTCTTCTGCCGCCCCTCTTGCCTGAGCTGCGAGCCCCTTCGGTGGGGCTGCGTTTGGCTGGAGGTGCTGGGGCAGCGCCGAGCCCCTCGGTGCTGCTGGGGGCACCCATCTGCCACGCAGCTGCCCCCCTTCCCGGGAGCAGCCGCGGGGTGAATGGGCCGGGAGGACGTGTTTTGACAGGATGGGGCCGCCGGGCTTTTGGCGAGGCTGGCGGTAGCGGCCGGGACAGGTAAAAATGGCTCTTTCAGTGTGCCCTGGGCGAGACTTCCTCCGGAGCAGCATGGGTCCTTTCACTGCCTCCCTAATCCAGCTAATCCGCCCCACAACACTTTGAAGGTGGCCTCCGGCTTGCACGCCGCTCAGCACGGGGAAGCTGCGGCCGGAGGATGCTTGGGGCGGTGCCTCGGGACCCCCTCCCGCCGGGATGCGGGGCAGTGCTGGAGCTGCAGGGTGGTTCTGGCATCCCTCCGAAGCGCCTGGGGCTCTGATCGCCCAGGGCAGGCGTCTCTGCCAGGGATGTGCTCGGTCTGCGATTGCCCCCGTGGGTGCCTCTTGTAGCAGGGGGTGCTGCAAAGGGGTTCCCCGTGGGATGGCTTTTCCCAGGGGATCTCAGCCTGACCTTGCCCCACTCCCAGCTGTGCCTTTGTGGTGGTTTCCAGCCCTAGCATTGGGATGTTGTGCTGTAGAAAGGGAGCTGCTCATCACGTCCCTTGCTAGTGGGCCCAGCTGGGGTCAGGGCTGCAGCATCCCCTGTGCACCAGCTGAATCTGCAGCTCAACAACATTTGTTGTCACATCCCCTAGCCCCATTACACCAAGAAGGACTGGGCCTGATTTTGGGAGCCAAGCGAGAATGTGTGGCAGGAGTGTTCCCTCCCTGTCATCCTGTCCCACCCGAGTCACTCAAGAGGTGACAACGCTGGCAGTGCCTGGGTGCCACCTGCACTGTGGTGGCAGTGCTGTTGACCATGACCTCTACCCAGCCTGACGGGACAGAGTGGTCTTTGCAGCCTGTGTTTCCTGGGGAGACACTGGTACCTCTCCGTGGTCCCCAGCACCTCCCACATCCCTCCCTCGTCCTCAGCCTTGCCAGGCAGGGAGGGCTCAGTGTGGGGCTGGCAGCCTGCCCGGACCCACTGCCCTCCCCGTGCCACCCAGACACGCTGCCCTGGCACACTCGGCCTGCTGCCCCCCACCCTTGGGTGCTTGGAGACCGGGCACTACGGGGTTTGTTCACCTCCTGCCCTGGGAAAGCACGGTGGGAGGTCCCCTTGCTGTCACAACCAGCGGGGTGGCTGCAAGGGGGCCAGCCCCGGGCTGGGGGGGCCGTGTAACTGCACTGTGGGCAGCAGGACCTGGCATGGGCTGACCCCAAACCCTCTGAGATGAGTCTGGGAGGTTCTGGCTACCCCTGGGGAGATGTGGAATGAGCTGGGATCAGACCCCTCCCAAGGCAGGAGGACAACACAGGGGCTGAGGCTCTGTCTTGGCTGGAGCAGCTGGGGGCACAAGTTGGTCCCACTGTGTGAGGGTGAGCTGGCTGCAGTGCCGTGGCTGCGGGTCCTTGCCAGGAGGGTTTGGGGTGCAGTGGCAGGGGAATGGCTCAGGCAGGGTGGCCGGGAAGGGGGCAGGGAGGCTCCAGCCCTGCTCTATAATTTTGTGGCGGATGCTGTAATTACGGAGAGGGCTCCCCCGGCATGGCCCGTGGATGGGAGGCAGCCGCACACGCAGCCACCCTCGCTGCCAGGGACCCTGTCCCATCCTCAGCATCCACTCTCCCTGCTGGGCACGGCAGGAGCCTGCTGTGCACCCCAGGTGTTCGGAGTGCAAGTGGGTGTAGGGTCCCAATCCACCGTCCAGCCAGAACTGCTCTGAGCCTGCACCCACAGCCCCCCCAGCGTGGGAGCAATGCCCGACCCAGCGAAGATGCTGCTGCCTCGGGGGACTGTCCTGCCCCCAAGCCCTGCAGTTGGATTTTGGTGGGAGCTGGGGGTCCAGGGCAGTGAAGCCAAACCCTGCCGGGGAGCAGAGCAGGCTGTTAGTAAGCAGGACCGGACGCCTGATTGGAACCAGAGAGCCCTTTGCATGAAAAAGCCAAGGGCTCCCTTTGTTAATTGGAATTAAAAAAAACCAACAAAAACAACAAAAACCCAACACAACAACAACAACAACAACAAAAAGGAAGAATTTACATACAGTTCCTCATTAACGTGCTCATTGTTGGTATCGGGGTGCCCCCCCAGCCCGCTGCCCGGCCGGGGGGCTGCGTGGGGCGTCTCGCCCCGCTCGGGGCTGGCCGGCCGGCGGGCGCGCCCGTTTGAAGTGTCCTTGGCAGCCCTGTGTGCGCTGCCTTGTCTTTTCATGTTGCTCTTTGGTTAATTAGGGTGTTGGAATTTGAGGCTTCCTCACGGCCTTTGAAGCTTGCTGACGGCTCGCAGTGCCCTGTTCCAAATTAACACTAATTACAAGGGACGGCTTTTTATTTTCTCTCTCTCTCTCTCTCTGTTTTTTTTTTTTTTTTCTTTTCCCCTCCTCTTTAATTTTTCGGGGGGCTCGCCCCCCACGCCATGCTTGCAGATGTGTGGCTCCTCCCGCAGGCGGGCTGGGCGGAGATGCCGGCAGGGCAGGGCGTAGCAGGATGATCCCCCGGGAGCAGCAGCGCCGTCGGGCACCCCCCCATCGCTGTGTCCCACCTCCCGCCCGGGCTCGGCGTGGGTGGCATGGCTGAGATCAGAGCAGCTTGGCGCACCTCCTGCCCGACCTCCCAGCCTGCTGGGAACGGGATGGGCGTCCCACTTCCCCCCACCCCCCGACACCCACCCTCCCCGTGTCCTCGTCCCCTCGCCCTGGGTGCTGCTGTCCCCTCTGACACACACACAAAAGCCGCGGCCATGTCCCCCCCTCCCTGTCCCTGGCACAACCTCTATCCCAACTGGCATCTGATGGACACCAGCTGCTCCCTGGCCCAGCCAGGAACAATAAAGATGCTTTGCCCTCCCCGTTCCCAAAAAGCAGGGATAAAAAAAAAAAAAAAAACACCAAAACACCAACCCATATAATAAGTCATTAAAAGGGAAGATTCTGCTCCTTATTTGCGGTCTCGCTCTGGCCTCCTCGGTGCTGGCGGAGGGCCAGGCCCGCCGGGGCCCCCGCCCCTTGCTGAGGGAGCATCCTGGTGCAGATGAATCGTGACCTCCCCTCACTTTCCCGGGGCCGGGCAGGAGCTGGCCTCACCCCTGCCAGCGGCACTGCCTTGGGAAGCATCCCACGCTGGGCATCCTGGGGTACCCCAGCGGGTGGCACTGGGATGGGGGCTACACCCCAGATGTGCCAGGACAGCATCCCTCCCACCCTGGGCAGGAGGCTGGAGCAGAGCAGCCAAGTGGTGCACTTGGGAGGGGTCTCAGGATCCACTTCCCACCCTCCTCTGGGCTGTGTTGCCTCCCCTTTGCTATGCCAGGAGGGATGGGAGCCCTGCAATCGAAGGGGCTGGTGCTCAGCCATGCGAGAGACCGTGCAGGGTTGGTCCCAGCCCCAGCCACGCTGGCTGGGAGGGGATTCCTCTTCCACGCCGAGGCAGCCGCAAATGAAGTCGGTGGCTTCAGCTGGAAACCTTGGCCCTGCTGTGCTCAGAGCTCTCGTGCTGCCAAAGGGGGACAGATCCCAGAGCCTTGGCAGGGAAGAGCGATGTCCCCAGCACCACCTCCCTCCCCTGTCCCCAGACCGCTGCTGGGGCAGCCTATACCTGCAGGGACTTTGGGGTGCCTGCCTCTCCCTACGCTCCTTCCCTGCCTGCCTTGGGGTGCCATGGAGGGGCTGGGCTGGGCTGCGGTGCCCCCAGTTTCATTTCCTGTTTTGTGGGCTGTTTTTGGGCATCTGCAGCACCCACCACAGAGCACGGTGGAAGTGGACAGGTTGGGTCCACTCTGCTTCACCAACCATCTGTCTGTGGGGGTTTTTTTTGCGGAAAGCAAAGCCAGCAAGCTGCTTTGGGGCTGGGTAGGGGGATGCCTCATCCAGTGTGTTCTGAGGTGGTCCCTGTTTGGATTCCTTGGGTGTGAGCACCCAGAGGATGCAGCAATTGGGGAACCCAATAGCAGGAAGCCCCTGTGAGTGATCATGGCACCATCTCATGCTTTGCAGCTTTGATTCTGCCTGTCCCATTCCCTGGGCATCCTGATGGGCAGGGCACATTGGTGAGGTGGGGGCTCTGCCTGGCCTGGCACTGACAGGGCACGTCATGGTCCTCTCCACAGCGGGCAGCCGGGTGAGCCAGGAGCTGCGCTACACCAAGGAGAAGTTGGGCGAGGAGTCCGTCTACACGTCCCAGATGTTGATCCAGACGCCGAAGAAGGATGGTGATAACATCCTGACACAGGAGGCCCTGCAGCTCCACCTCGAGGCGGCCTTGGCCGCCAGCAAGGTTCAAGTCTCACTGTACGGAAAGTGAGTCCGGCTCCAGATGGGGGGCGGGGACCCCCGCAGTGCTCTGCACATCCCTCTACCCTTTGCCTGTCCCGTGCGGGATATGCCCGTTCTCAGCTCCTCCTTCTGCCTTTCCAGATCGTGGGATTTGAACAAGATCTGCTACAAGTCGGGTGTCCCCATCATTGAGAATGGCATGATCGAGAGGGTGAGTGCTGCTCATGGATGGCCCTCTGGAGCCCCGCCGGGGCTGGCTGTTGACCCGCGGGATCAGCCCATCAAAGAATGGCAGTGGAGGGGCTGTGCTGGGGACAGGGCTTGTCAGCCCCAGGTGCTGTGAAGGCACTGCTGGCTGGATGTGGGAAGGCACAGGTTTGGAAAGCCCAGCAAGGCGGGGGGAGACTGGGGGGTCTGATCCATCGCTGCTGACCTCTTGCATCTCCCCGTGCAGATGATAGAGAAGCTGTTCCCCTGTGTGATCCTGACACCATTGGACTGCTTCTGGGAAGGCTCCAAGCTGCAGGGAGGCTCAGCCTATCTCCCGTGAGTGTGTGTGGGGAACTGTCCTGGGCTGTGGGGGGTCATGGGTGGGAGCAGGAGCTGGGGATGCTGCCAAGGGGCTGTGCTTGACCTCCCTTTGCAGCTTGGCTCTGCCTGCTGCAAGGTGCTTCAGTGCTGCTGCAGCTTGTCCTGCTCAGCCCTAGTCCCATCCATCATTACTATCCCGCTGGGTCAACTCTGGGGACAGGTCCCTGTCCTCCCTCCCCTGCCTGGCCTCGGTGGCACAGCTAGGGCTGTACTGCTGCAGGGGGGCTGCAGCCCACAGGCAGGAACTGCCCATCCCATCCCATCCCATCCCATCCCATCCCATCCCATCCCATCCCATCCCATCCCATCCCATCCCATCCCATCCCTGCCACGTTCTCCCACCAGCCAGGGATGGGGACGGGGGGCAGTGGCTGTGCCACAGGCAGGTCACCGAGGCTGCTGGCCCCCGTCCCTGGCAGCACCTCGTGTGTGTCACGATTGTGAGGGGGCACCCAGACTCCTGAGCTGCACCCAGGGGCACGGAGTCCCTGGGCTGGGTGGCGAGCGACTCCCAGCCAGCTCCTCGCGTGGTGGTGGGGCTGGGGACCCCGGGCTGGGCCGGGAGAGCCTCCCCCACATTCCTTCTGTTTACGCGTGTGTTTGTCCGGGAGAGCTGGGGCGGCTTGTGCATTGTCAGCAAACGCAGCCCCGTGCTTTCTCATGCTAATGCTGCTCTGAAAGCTGCCCCTTGCCAAATAGATGAAATAGTGGCCTTATTCAGGCTGCTGCGGACGGGAGGAGGGGGAAGGGGCCGCAGCCTCCCCAGTCAGGACTAGGGGCTGGTTTTGCCCCCCAGGACCTCAGGTTCTCCCCATCCCAGGTTGGGGGACCGCCGAGAGCAGGAGCAGGTGGGGCTGGGGCGGCCGTGCCAGATGGGATGCTGGTGGCATTGTCTGCCGGCTTGGGCAGCGTTCTGGGACTGAGGTCCGTGGCAGGCAGGGTGGCACTGGAGCAGCCACGGGACTCATCTCTCCTAGCAGCCGAGGGAGCGGGTGCCCGGGCGGGCACCCCGGCTGAGTGCGGCCGGCCCATGGGGACTCGTCCCCCTTTTTAACGCCAAGGGGTGAGCGGGGTGGGAGCTGGGAGAACAAAGAGCAGCAATCTATGGAAAGACAAAAGGATTTGCCCTGGCTCAGTGAAGCAAGCGAAAGCAGATAAAAGGGGCTCTCTTTGGAAGCAGCAGCAGCTCCGGTTGGTATGTGGGAATCTCGAGCGGCCGGCTCTGGCCCAGCCAGCCTTCATGAATTATTAGGCTGTGTTTCTCCCCAGAGCCCACACTTGCTCGGGGCTTTTTCTTCCCCTCTTTGGAGCGCTGGGCTGGGTTATTGGCTTTTTTGTGTGTCCTTTCTGTCTTAAAAAAGAAGCTGAGTGAGGCTGGAAGCTGGCCCCCAGCTCCCCAGGCTGGGGTGGAGGGAGCAGAGCATCTGCAGGCAATGGGAAAAACCTTTTTCCTGGGTACCCAAGTCCCCTGCAGTCCTGATGGACCTCCAAGAACCTACTCCACACCCAGCTCCCAGTACTGTGCTGAGCCCCCAGCATCTCTGCTGAGCCCCAAACTCTCCAGCTTGAGGGGAAATGGCAGGAAGGGCTGTAAGGGATGCCGGGAGCTATTGCCTGCCTGCTCCCCTCTATCAAGATGTTAGCCCACGGGCAGTAATCGGCCTGACTGCTCACACAAAGCGGGGCCAGGCAGCAGGGCCGGCTCCCCCCGCTTTGTCCCGGACTAACAGGATCAGGCACGCTACTTGACTCGGGGCACAGCCCGCTGTGGCGCACAGGGCACGGGGGATTCCGCGGGCGGCCCCGGGAGGGGGTAAGGGACGTGCTGGGGGCTGATGCTCATCTGCATCCCTGCATCCTGCCTGTGAGGGCATCCACAGCACCCCTGGGATGGGCTGGCGGTGGTGGTGGTGGTACTGCGTGTGGGTTTTGGCATCCCCCATGACCCCAGTGCTGCTCTCTGCCCAGGGGCCGCCCGGACATCCAGTGGAGCAACCTGGACCCTCTGCAGCTGATGGAGGAGCTGGGGCAGTTCACATCCCTGGAAGGCTTCAAAGAGCTGCTAGACAAGGCAGAGGTGGGACAGGCTTACATGGAGCGCCCCTGCCTGGACCCCCGGGACCCCCAATGTCCCTCCAGTGCCCCCAACAAGCAGAGCCAGCAGGTGGGTCACAGTCCATGAGCACCAGGATTTGGGTGTGGGGGCTTACTGCTCTCCTGCCTGCCCCACAATCCTGACACCTCCCCTCCACCCACAGAGCCCCGACATCCCGGCCGAACTCTCGGGGGGCTGCCACGGCTTCTCCAGGAAGTTCATGCGCTGGCAGCAGGAGCTGATTTTAGGCGGCACGACCAAAGACTCCCAGGGCAAACTGCTACGGTAAGAGCTGCTGTGGTGTGGGCATCCCCAGGCACAGGGCAGGATACCTGCCCTGGCTGCAGGAGGGGCTCTGGGGCTGTCTCAGAGGCTGGTGGGTGCGTGGGGCCGGTGAGCAAGGCAGCGCTCCGGAGCAAGGGAGAGCAAGGAGGCAGGATGCCTGGGTCCTCTCCTGGGTGTCTGGGGTGGGGATGGGTGCCGTGGGGTGGGGGATGGACCCATTCCTGCATCCTGGGGCACTGCAGCTGGTCCCAGCGAGGTGCGTGCCTGTCCCCCAGCGCCGAGGCCCTGCAGACCATGTTCCTCCTCATGAGCCCCCGGCAGCTCTATGAGCACTTCAAGGATGACTACGAGATCCATGATATCAGCTGGAGCGAGGAAAAGGCAGGAGCCATCCTGGAGGCCTGGCAGAGGAAATTCGTGGAGGTGAGCACCGGGAACAGCCCCCACATGGGGCTGGGCAGGGGTGAGCCTGTGCATGGCATCTCTCTGTGCTCAGGTTTTCATGTGGCCACGGGTTCTGTCACTACTCTTAGTCCAGTGCATCCCTGGGGACTGCCAGTGGTGATGCTGACACCCTGAATACTCTGGGGTGGGTGTACTGTAGAGCGGGGGGCTCCTGACTCCTCTAATGGGATGCATCTCTGGCAGCTGGCACAGGACTCCATCCCTCCCAACGCCACGCAGAGTGTCCATGCCTTCTCCACCACCACGCTCAATGACATCATGAAGTCCTTCTCTGACGTCAGCGTCATCCGGGTGGCTGGGGGCTACCTCCTCATGGTACGTGTGCCCCTTCTCTCTGTCCTCTGCCATCCCTCCATCTGCCCCCAGGTCCCTGCTAACCCACTGTGCTCTTCCAGCTGGCCTACGCCTGTGTCACCATGCTGCGGTGGGACTGCTCCAAGTCCCAGGGGGCTGTGGGCCTGGCTGGGGTCCTGCTTGTGGCTCTCTCCGTCGCCTCTGGCCTGGGGCTTTGCTCACTGCTGGGCATCTCCTTCAATGCAGCCACCACCCAGGTATGTGCTGGAGGAAGAGCTGGGTCCTGTGAGGTGGGCGGGACCCTCAGGGCTCAGGGGTGGCCGAGTCCCCTCTCAGGTGGTGGCCATGTCCCTCTGCTCACACCAGCTGCTCTGTGGCAGGTCCTGCCCTTCCTGGCCCTCGGCATTGGGGTGGATGACATGTTCCTCTTGGCTCACGCCTTCACCGAGACGAGCCAGCACATCCCCTTCAAGGTGAGCACTGAGCACTGCCCAGGCTCTTCTCGGCCTCCTCCTGCCTCCCTGTGGTCCCTCTCGTCACCCCTTCTCTGTCCCGGCAGGAGCGGACGGGTGAGTGTCTGAAGCGCACGGGGACCAGCGTGGCTCTCACCTCTGTCAGCAACATGATCGCCTTCTTCATGGCAGCCCTGGTGCCCATCCCTGCCCTGCGCGCCTTCTCCCTCCAGGTAGGGCCACGGTCCCTTTCCCGGGGATGGGAAGGGATGGCCAGACCCTGCTCTGACCTGTGTCCCCCAATGCCTGCAGGCTGCAGTGGTTGTTGTGTTCAACTTCGCCATGGTGCTCTTCGTTTTCCCTGCTATCCTGAGCCTGGACCTGCACCGCCGGGAGAAACGCCGGCTCGACATCCTCTGCTGCTTCTACAGGTACTGGCACTGGGCTGGCTGGGCTGGCTCTGACCCCACAGGTCCCTAAAGAAGACTGGGTGACTAAATATCTCACCCTTCTCTCTCTGCTCCTTCACTCTCTCCATGCAGCCCTTGCTCCTCAAGGGTCATCCAGATCCAGCCCCAAGAGCTTGCTGATGCCAACGACAACCATGCCTGCCATCCATCTCCTTATGGGCACCCCGGCATGGCCACCAGCACACAGATCACCACCACTGTGCAAGCCTTCACCCGGTGTGACCCCTCGGGCCACCACATTGTCACCGTCCTGCCACCCACCTCCCAGGTGTGCACCTCGCCTGCCATCCTCCTGCCCCACACTGATCCCTTGGGCTCGCAGGTCTTCGCTCCATCCAGCTCCACCCGGGATCTGCTGTCCCAGCTGGATGAGGCCAAGGGTGGCCGGGAGTGTGTCCCCCTGCCCTTCTGCCGCTGGAGCCTCGCTGATTTCGCCCGGGAGAAGTACGCCCCACTCCTTCTGCGGACCCGGACCAAGGTGAGGGGGGGGCAGCCCTGGTGGTGCCACTCAAGGTGGGTGGGTGGCACAGGACTCTTCCTGACCCCCTGTTGTCCCCACAGGTGGTAGTGGTGGTGCTGTTCCTGGCACTGCTAGGGCTGAGCCTCTATGGCACCACCATGGTACATGATGGCCTCTACCTGACGGACATCGTGCCACGGGACACCAAGGCACACGCCTTCATCTCGGCCCAGTTCAAGTACTTCTCCTTCTACAACATGTTCATTGTCACTAAGGGTGGCTTCCACTACCCGGGTGCCCAGGCTGCCCTGCTGAGTCTGCACCAGGCCTTCAGCACCGTCAAGTACGTGGTGCGGGAGGGCAACCGCGACCTGCCTAAAATGTGGCTCCATTACTTCCAGGACTGGCTGAGAGGTGAGGGACATGCCTCTTCTCCATGACCTCCCCTGTCTGATAGTCCTCTCCTCAGCCTGCATGCTCCCCACTGGCCTGGGAATGCCTTCCCTTGTGTGCGGTGCCCTGGGGAGGATGGTCCCGAGGTGCCCAGCACTGGAAGATGAGCCTTGGGGTTTTTGTGTGCCCATCCCTCTGGCATCACACTCCCTGGGTCACACGGGGTAGTGTTCAGGGTGGTGTGTACCCAGGGATGCTTACCCCCCATTCTGCATCCCCAGGGCTCCAGGCCACCTTCGACAGGGACTGGCAGGCTGGGCGCATCACCCATGACAGCTACCGCAATGGCTCCGAGGATGGGGCACTGGCCTACAAGCTCCTCATCCAGACTGGCAACAAGAAGGAGCCCTTCAATTTCAACCAGGTGAGCGGTGGCAGGGCTGGGCTGACTGGGCTGGGATGTCTCTGCCCCAGCTGCCCAGCTCATGCCCACTCCTGGTCTCTCCTGTAGCTGACCACACGGCGATTGGTGGATGAGAATGGCATCATCCCCCCTGACACCTTCTACATCTGCCTGACGGTGTGGGCCAGCAACGACCCCCTGGGCTTTGCTGCCTCCCAGGCCAACTTCTACCCCCCACCCCCCGAGTGGATTCATGACAAGTACGACATCACGGGCGAGAACCTGCGAAGTGAGTGAGCATGGTGGGCTCCCCAGGGCCCCCTCTGCCCCCGGCATCCTCCTGCAGAGTACCCCACTCCCCACACCTTTTTTCCCTGAAGGGAAACCCCTCATATCCCTCATCCCTTCTAGTAAACTGCCTTGCTTCCCCATGCTTAACCCTTGTCCTCTTGCATCCCACCCTGCACATCCCACTGTGCATTCCCTATGCCCTTAGCAACACTGCTCCAGCCCATGAGCAAAGAGTAACCCACTAACGCACAAAAATCCTACAGGCAGAGAAATGCCCTGCCCTCCTCCTTGACCCCAGTCTGTTCCTACACCCTCCTCAGACCTGTGGTAGCCAGCCAGGCATCAGGCTGCCCAGGCTGCCCTCGGGCTGGTGTGACCATGGTGCTCTCGTGGTGCCTGTCCACCCGTACTGCCCACACCTCATACTGCCTGTGATCTCCTCACCAGTCCCAGCAGCCCAGCCGCTGGAGTTCGCCCAGTTCCCTTTCTACCTGAGCGGGCTGCGTCGCACGTCCGACTTCGTGGAGGCGATTGAGAGCGTACGGGCCATCTGCCAGGAGGCCGCCCAGCGCCACGGCGTGCTGAGCTACCCCAGCGGCTACCCCTTCCTCTTCTGGGAGCAGTACATCGGCCTGCGGCACTGGTTCCTGCTGGCCATCAGCATCCTGCTGGCCTGCACCTTCCTCGTCTGCGCCTTGCTGCTGCTCAACCCCTGGACCGCCGGCATCATCGTGAGTACGCACCCTGATGCAGGGGATGGTCCTGAGGGGTGAGGTTAGGGCATCCAGACTTTCTCCCGTCCTGCCGAGTGGACCTGGGTACCTGCTTCATGGGAATTGGGTGATGGAGTGGCCAGGGGCACCCTGGGGGGAAGGGATGCCCATATGAGGGTGGCAGTGGGTGAGAGATTCCTGAATGGAGGAATCAGTTATATCATTGATGAAGAGAACAGGGGACCCTGGATACATCCATGCAGAAGAGTGTGACAGGAACACCCATATGGAGATGGCAGTTGTTGCGGGAGCCACATGGAGGGATCAGGGAACCCGTTATGATGGGAATATGTGTAGTGGGCAGGGGTTTGATGACATCCATGCAGAGCAGGGTGAGAGTTACCCCCAGAAGATGGGATGGAGGGACACCCCAAATAGAGGGAAAAGGGTCATTGAGGTGAGGCTGCCCTGTATGGAGTAGGGTCAGGCTTACCAGGGAGAGGGGACAGCCAATCAAAGCCATCTCTCATTGACCTCACCACCCTCCAGGTCTCCATCCTGGCCATGATTGCTGTGGAATTGTTTGGCATCATGGGGCTGATGGGCATCAAGCTGAGCGCCATCCCTGTGGTCATCCTCATTGCCTCGGTGGGCATCGGTGTGGAGTTTACTGTCCACGTGGCCCTGGTGAGCACAGGCTGATCCCAGTTCCCACTCCCTGGCACCCTCACCCCCTTGGCCGTGTGCTAATGGGTGGCCCATCATGGGTGGCACACGGGAACAGCCCCGCATGACATTTCCATCCCACTCAGGGCTTCCTGACAGCTGCGGGGAGCAGGAACGTGCGCTCAGCCGCAGCACTGGAGCACACTTTTGCACCTGTGATGGATGGTGCTGTCTCCACCCTCCTGGGTGTCCTCATGCTGGCTGGCTCTGAGTTCGATTTCATCATGAGGTGAGCACTGAAAAAGGGTAAATCAGCCACGTGCTGCCATACAAGAGCTTTGGCAGTGGGGGCTGGTGGGTGTGGCAGCCCCCATCTGGCAGTGGGGATGTGGGGTAGCTGGTGAGGACATCTTGCTGGGGACTGTCATTCCATCTTGTCTGGAGGCTGGGGAGACATGGCAGGGCCACGGGCTATGGCATGGCAAGCCATGTTTGCGATGGGAGAGGTTCATGATGGCTGTGCCTGCTTGCCCCATGTGCCTATGGTCCCCTCAGGTATTTCTTTGCGGTGCTGACCATCCTGACGCTGCTGGGGCTGCTCAACGGGCTGGTGCTGCTGCCCGTGCTGCTCTCTGTCATCGGGCCACCTCCTGAGGTACAAGACCCCTCCATCCCACCTCTCCCTCATCCTCCCCAGCCCTGTACCCATGTCTCTTCATCCCCCCTTGCCCCTCTCCCTGCCCACCTTTCACCCTTTATCCATCTTTGCCTTGTCCAGTCCCAACCTCATCTTGAACCCACCTCAGTCCATCCCTTGTCCTATACCATCCTTCTTTTACCTCATCCTTTCTCTGACCCATATCCTACTTGCCCCATACCTACCTGACCTTGTTCCTGCTTCATTCCACACACAACTTCCCCCATCCCTCCCTGACCCATGACCTCCCTGATCGCATCCCTGCTTCACCTGGCATCACCTACATCCCCATCCTCGCATCAGCCCGTACTTGCTATTTCTCCATACTCTGTCCCTGGCTCCTCTGACCTGTCTTCTCTCCCCAGGCATCTCTGGTGGATAATGGCCCCTGCCTACCCCCACCAGAGTCGATACCCCCATGTCTGGGCCCTGGGGGACTGTACGTCCGGCGCGCTCCAGCCTGGCCTGCCACCTTCCCTGAGCCCTCTGACACGGAGAGCGTGGGGCCAGGCAGCCCACGGGGACCCTTCGTTGTGCCCCCTGCCCCAGCACACATCCTACTGGAGGCTGGCAAGGACCCCAGCTTCCCCCGCATCACTGTGAGTGTCTCTACCCTTTGTGGCATTGCCAGCTCCCCTGCATCCCCAGGGAGAGGGTCATGGATAGAGCTGCGGGAGGGGGGCTGGTGGTGTTGCCAGACGGATGCTCAATATGACTGGGGACCCTCATGCTTTATGCTCCCCCTCCAGGTGCTGAAGCCCTACAAGGACAGCCTGGAGGTTCAGGGGAAGAAAGAGGCTTCTGGCCCTCAGCCTGCAGCCCCCCTGCCCTTTGGGGAGCCGTGCACCTCGCTGCCCCGAGATCCCCCGCAGCCCGGCCCAGCGGGCACCCGGCCAGCCCCCCCCGCAGCCCTGCCCACCTACAGCACCCACCTGCAGGGTCCTGCCGGCAGCTACACCACCGTCACGGCCACCGCATCAGTGACAGTGGCTCTGCACCCCACACTGCCTGGCTCCTACCCCAGCTTCAGCCCTGAGGGCTTCACCAGCAGCGAGCGGGACTGCCTGGACGAGCCCAGCACCAGCGGCACCGCTGTGCCCGACACCTTTGAGATGCAGAACATGGGACACCACAGGGCAGGTGCCTGGCGCTAGGTGAGCCTGGGGACGCCCTACCCAGGGCTGGTGCATGGCAGCTCGGGGGTGCGAGGTGGGTGTGGAGGGACTCAACTGATCCCCAAATCTCTCTCTCTCTCTGCAGATTGCTGGTTCTTGGGCAGAGCATCTCCTCAGCACCCCGTGGGCACAGGAGGGTGCAGAGCGGGGTCACCCGTGTCATGCTGCTAATCGCCAGAGTGGTCTTGGCCAAGGAGGACCAGCCCCCCTGCACCCTGCACCGGGGCTTGGTAGGGCAGGCTGGCACTTCTATGCAAGCTGTGTGCAGGCCATGCCGTGCCCGCGCGTCCCTCACCTGAGGCTGTACCGTTGGTGCCGTGTCCCGTCACTCAGGGCTTGGGGTTATCCTGCCCTGGGCTTGTTGCCCCCCAGAAATGGAAGCACTAACTCCCCCCTCTGTTTCTGGAGCTGCTGGCAAGGTGGACTCAGTGCCATGCCAGCTCCCCCTCTGTGGGGTCACTGCCTGCTCCCCATCACCTCCTCCTGGGACCACCCATCCCAGGCCATGAGCTGGGGTACCCCAACAGGGTGCCCTGATGCCCCCTGTTCCGATAAGGGGGCAGCCCCAGAGCCAGCTATGCCCTGGCATGCCATGGGCAAGGCCTAGGGTGGGCACCCCCACCTTTATTTATTGCAAAGGGAAACTATCTATAGAGAGATATATATTTTTAAGCTTATTTTAAAAGATTTATTTCTCAGCCTAAAGCCTCACCCGGCTGCCCAGGGTGCAGGCAGGGAGTGGGCAGACCCTTTGCCCAGTGCAGGGCTGCCCACTGGAGGCAGCAGGAGCCTGGGGGCACAGACCTGGTTCATGCCTCCACTCCATGGGCAGCTCACCCCTTCCAACATGCTAGTCTGTGCCTCAGTTTCCCCAGTGGCAAGAATTGGAAGGCTAGAGATCATGGATGTGCCACAGTGGAGAAAGGGAGCCTGTTGCTCCCCAGCACACAGGCAGGGCTTTGGAAGGGGGAGATCCTTGGAGTGGTCCTTGCTGTGCCAAGCCCCTGAGCTGTCCCACGATCACAGCCCCCTGTGTCACACTTGTGCTCTGTCCAGGGGATGGCACAGGCTTGAGCACGCACAGGACACTGCACGCTGACGTGGGCTCCCATGGTGCCACCAGGCACATCTTGCTGGGAAACGTTATTTCTTACCATGTCCCCGTGCAACGGGGCTGTCCCTGCAGCCAGCCCCTGTCCCTGTTCCCGTCCCCATCCCGGGCACCGTCCGCGCCGTCACCCAGCACTTTAACTCCAGCGGTGTTTGCTGTGCCTGCGGCCCCAGGCCCCCCGGCCCCCTGACACTGCCGCTCAGCAGGGGTGGCCTTGGGGACCCTGTCCCCGTGCCAGGCGTGGGCACGGCGGGCAGCCCCCCCCCCCAAACACGCCATCTAAGTTATTTATATCAAAGAGAGCAAAGGTTTATTTTTGTAGTTTGTACAGGCGGTAGTGGGGACTGAAGGTTTATTTTTAAAGAGTAAATATATATATTATATATAAATTACCTGCTGTGTCTGGCCCTTTCTCCTGGGGAACACAGCTGGGAGGGGGGTTTGTGTGCTTGAGACAGACCCAGCTGTGTGCACACACTCAATGGGGGGTGCAAGGGGGGCTGCACACCGTGTGTGTGGCACGGAGGGGCTGGCAGTCTGTGCTGCGTGTGTGTGGCCTGCTGGCACGGCTTGGCGGGGGTTGGGGGGTGGGAGCCCGTCGGTGCAGCAATGCGTGCAAAGATGCCCATGTGTCCCCTCCTACCTGCACCCCCTCCAAGCCCCAGGCTCCCCGTGGCCCTGCCCGGGCAGGCACTGGTGCTCTCTCCCACTGCAGCACAGCCCCGCTGCCGGGGGAGGGCAGCACGGCCCCGGGGAAGGGGGAGCTCATCCTGGGTCCCCATCCCGCAGGGATCTCTGCAGCCCCACCACCCTTGGGTCACTACCTGGGCAGCCTGCAGTGTCCTTGCACCCATCGCATAGCCCAGCCCTCCCCTACCCCCAGCCCCTGCATCACTTTTGGGGTGACCCAGGCATCCTGCCCTGGCCCTGACACAGTGACGTGGGACAAAGCATCTTGTCGATGCTCTTGGCCACGGCAGCATCAGTGCCCAGCCCCGCTGTCTGCCCCGCTGCAGAGTCCCCGGTTGGGCTGGACAAAACTCGTTGCCAGCCCCTACTTGGCGTGTGGCTCAAGGTGACGGTGATGGTCGCGGGGCCGTGTGCCCCGGCGGGGACGGCAGAGGCGGGAGGGCACCCCACTGCCCTTCCTCAGTGCGTGGGCACGCCAGGCTGCCGCGATGTTCTCCACCTGTGGGGAAGGGGAGACGGATGGGGGCATCAGCACCGCCACAGTGTGGTCCTCCTCAGCCCATCCCACAGCACCCTCCAGCCCTGGAGGTCAGTCAGGGGACACTAAGAACAGGCAGCAGCTCACCGGGATGAGGAGGTCCTGCTGGTTGTAGCTCTCCAGTGTCACCAGTTCGCTGGGTGCCAGCAAGGGCAGACGCAGCTCCCTCACGGGCAGGGCAGCCACCTCTGGCACCGGACGCTCCAGGACAGCCTGTCAGACATCTGGATGTGAGGGACGAGGCTGGTGATGTCCTGGGCACCAGGGGAAGCAGGGGCCTGGGGGGAGTGACACAGCCTCTGTGTGCATCACCAAGCCCTGGGCTCAGAGATAGGGTGCCTACATTCGCAGCCTGGGCTGGTGGGGGCCCAGGCATCCCTGGATGGTCCTTGCTGCATGCCACTCACCGAGCTGACGTGAGCCCACTCCCGCACAGCCTGCACCAGGTCCAGCTCATCCGCGGCCAGGCGGTCGCTGCGCAGCACCCGCGCCAGCACCACGTCGGAGAGCTCACGGAAGCCCTGGGTCTGCACCACTGCCTGCCAGCACACCACAACACCAGGGGGCTGGAACCAGGACCCCACACAACCACCACCCCCGTCCATCAGACACATCCTGGTGCCATCCCTGCCTGGCACTCCAGCATCCCCCAACCCAAACTCCAATCCTCTGGCACTCCAATACCCCCCAGCCCGCCTCTGCCAGTCACCCAGCATCTTCTCTCCAAATCTGCTCCCCTCCCAGCCCCCAGGCATCTCATCCTTAGGAGCCCTGCTCCCTTGCCTCATGCAGCATTCTCCATGCCGTGTGCCCCCCACACCCTGGGGTACCCCACACCATGCTCCCCCATCACCTGCCACGTACCGTGGTGCAGCCCTCGATGAAGGCCAGGCAGTGCTGCTGGAGGTCCACCTGCCCATAGGTCACTGCAGCCTGCGAGACAACACAGACACCTGCAAGGGGGCCCAGGGCAGGAAGGCCTCCCTGTCAAAGCCCTACAGATACGTGGGCACTGTCAGGGACACAGGTGAGGCACACATCCCTCTGGTTTGGGTATCACAGTGAGAATGTGGGGAGGAAGGGGCACCAAGGCCCCCTCCTTTCTTGGCCTGCCCAACAGCAAATGTTTTGATGGCTGTAACGCCCACAATGGTCACCCAGCCCCACCCTAAGCAGGACATGTGATTTTCCACCTCTGTTTCATCATCTCACTGAGCCCACAGTGGGTGAGAAGCCCTGGTGCTGTTCTCACAAGGTAACACTGCAGGCACATGAAACCACCAGTCCCCAGTGCTCCTTGTGGGCACAGGATCAGCTTAAAGCCCCCCACAAGCACCCCACACCCCTGGTGCCAGCCTCAGCCTGACCCATAGCTGCCATTCCCCACTGCAGCAGGAATTTGGGGTTGCTCTCATTTTCTCCCAGCCCTACTGAGCAATGCTGGTCCCAGGGCTGGCACTGCCCCTCGGGTTACCAGGAGGGCATGACCCCATCCCCCCACAGCAGCCCCGGTGTGTGGGGTACTGGGGAGCAGCACAGGCAGGGTGAACATCACATCCCCCTCCACCCCAGCAGGGGAGCAGTGCTGACGTAAGTGGGGAGGGCAGATGAGCTGTTTTCTTCAGGTTTGTTTTGTTCTGGGGTTTTGGGGTTTCTTCTTTTGTTTCCTCTGGGCCAATGTTAGCACCATTTATGTCACAGTGGTCTGGCACCACATCTGGCTGGGGCTCTGTGCTCTGGGGCAGGCACCTTACCCCAAGATTGTTTCAGTTTGTGGGAGATTAAACAAATACCCCTTCCCTGGAGAGCAGCCTTGGTCCCACCAAGTAGCATGGCCAGGGCCATTAGGACCTTCACAAGGCTATTTTTAGGGGCTTCAACTCTCAGCAGGGGTTTTGGGACTGGCTCCCCAAAACCCAGTGCCTCCCAGTTTCATGCAGATGATGACAAAGCCCTGGCACTGTGGAGTTCTGGCCAGTCCTGCTCAGGCTGACAGAGAAGACACTTCTCTGCCAGGATCTGGTGGCCCCACTGTCCCTTGCAGCCCTGCTACAATCCCAGTGGTCTGGGAGTTGGCAGGGCAGCTGCTGGGCCAGGGGTGAGTGGGAAATCCTGCCCCACTGCGCAGCAGAGAACAGAAGGATCAAATCTGTTCCTGCCCCAAAATTGTACAGGTTATTTTTAATAAATAAAATGAGACCCTAACGGTGTGACTCTTACCTGCAGAGCCTCGCAGACCTGCTCCACGCTCAGCGTGTCCTTGATGAACTTGACACAGAGCTGTAAGGCAGACAGGGAGAGGGTGGGCAGAGTGGGGGACACAACCCTGCCATCCCCCCACACAACTCTCAGCATCCCCTGAGACCCCAGCACATGGAATGTGGGGCAGAGTCACCTCCAGTCCCCCAGGATTTCATAAGCAATGGCCTGTGGGATGATGGCAGGGTGGATGTGGGCAGTCAGCTTGGCCACTGATGGAGCCAGGGACCAAGATTGATGTGACCAAACTCAGCCGATCTGATAGCCCCAGATGGGTCCCTTAATCCTGCCTACAGATGCCATCCATGTTCTACCATAGGGCACAATCCTGGTGCCAGCTGCAGTGCACTGGGTGACCTCAGCTTTGCCCCAGCCCTGCCT